TCTTGCCGCGTCCACACGCGCTGTGTCGATGTCGACGGTGTTTCACATGCGTAGTGCCTTCGATGATCTGCAGATGAGGGATGGCGTGCATGGTGCCGCAGTGGTGGTGCTGGAGCAGGGCAGGGAAGGTGGAGAATCGATATCTTGCCGTGGCGTTCCGCTTCACACGAATGCCTTGGTTTTGTGTTGATTTCATTGGATGCTGTTCCGCTTGTCGTGCTTTGTCCACCTTGTGGCTTTTAGTGGATATTCGAAGTCCCTGCGCGTTCAGCTTTACGTTTATTGCCGTGCGGTTGATTGCAGTGACGGCTTCTCATGTGCGTATGGCAGCGGTGCGTTTGGTTCACTTTCGGTGTTCGGCCAACCAAGCTGTCAACAGCATGCAAGCCTTTCGCACATCCCCACAAGAGCGAGACATGAGGTTGTTCGGCAGGGGGCTACACCCCAGGATGAGTGTGTTCCCAGTCGAGCTTGACCAGTTGCGCCATTTACGAATGGAGGAAAAACCATCCCGACCCCCAGTCGTGGCGTTTACTGAACGGCCCTCGTCCTTTACTGAACATACCTGCCTTCGTCGATTCCTTCGTCTGGTGCGTTCACCAACGGCTTCGCTCGTCGAGGTCATTGTTATGAGGGTTGCTCTTCTGTCCTCTAACTTCAGGTGGGGTCTTTCGCAATTTGTGTACGCCAAACACAATTACATGTCCGAACCTCTGCATTCATTACCCTCTGCGCAGTCCGTACATGACCCTGCGTAGCCATCCCCTTGGCCCTGCTGTTCGGCTGCTCCGTCGTATGGCGTCGGGCAAAACCTGCGTCGACGATTTGCGGTTCGGCCTTGGCCGCCGTCGTGGCATGCTCCGCGCGGAGGCCTCTGGCAGCTCTTGGGATCCGCTGGCCTCCCCTGCCCCCTCCCCTGTGGAAGAGCATGCTGCAGGCGACCATTCCCCTCGCCCTCCTCCTCCCTCCCTTCCTTCCCCCTCCTCCCCCTCCTCCTCCCCTCCTCCTCCTCCTCCTCCTCCTCCTCCTCCTTCCTCCTCCTCCTCCCCCTCCTCCTCCCCCTCCTCCTCCTCCCCCTCCTCCTCCTCCTCCTCCTCCTCCTCGGCTTCTCTGTGGCTGGACTGCCGGCAACCGACAGGCCACGGTCGCGGGCGTCAGCGCCAGCACGGTGAACCAGGTGCGGCAGCGGATCCGGCAGCTGCGCGAGGAGCGCAGGCCGAAGGAGGAGCAGCAGCATCAGCATAGGCCTTCGGAACTCTGACCAGGCTTCTCGGATCGGTGCCGGGGGTCCCCCGGCGGCGCCGTCGGCGCCGCCCCTGCTGCGCCCCGCGCGCCAGGAAGCGGTGTCCAGGGCCGATCCGAGAAGTCCACGCGGAGCTCCGAAAGCCCGTGTTCGTGCCGTTCTTTCTCCCTCGACAGTCGACCCGCACAGTAAGGATGAGCGACTTCCCGAGGGTACCCCCTGCATCCTTGCCCCATTCGGTCACCTTCGCTCCATCCTCAACGACTCGAAGAGTCTCGAAGAGTCTCGGCAGAGATTTGAAGAGTCTCGGAGAGTCTCGCAGAGATTCGAAGAGTTTCGAAGAGTCTTCGCTCCATCCTCAACAATTCGATGGCCAGCCCCGCTCGAAGAGTCTCTGCATGGGCGCCCGAGGCCCTCGCGTCCTCACCGCGCGTCCGCATTACACCGCACATCCTCCCTGCACGGGCAACAAGAACAAAGTACACCAAAAACATCATACGAAAAATCAAAAACAAAAAAGACAACTCCTCACTGTGCGGGTTGGCTCCACCGTGCTGGCCCTGGCCTTCGACCAAAGCGCCACCGCGGAGGAGCTCGAGCGCGCGTGCGCCGAGGCGGAGCGGGCCGGCGCGGACGCCCGAGCGGTGGCCGCGGCCCGCCGGCGGGCCTCGCAGCTGCGCGAGGAGCGCAGCAGCCGCCTGGCCTGGCGGGCCACGCAGGTGCTCTTCGCGCTGCAGCGCTTCGCCCGCCCAGCTGCCTCCTCCTCCTCCTCCTCCTCCTCCTCCTCCGGCAGCGCGCCGCTTCGCCCCCCCGCGAGCTGTTGGTGGCGGGCGTCCATGCGAGCGGGTGTCAGCCAGAGCTTGGCGTCGCTCGGACGTGTGCATTTTTCCTTCGGCGAGGACCATGCAGGAGCATCCTTGATCATTTGGCGAAAAAACCACGCACGACACCGAACAAAGCACAGGAAATGGACGTCCGAGCGATGGCCAGAGAGCGCCAACGGGGGTCCGTCAGGGCGCCGGAGCTTGCAGGATGCTGCAGAGCTAGGGCTGCACTGGCCCGGGCTTGCGTGCAGGGGTCCTGCAGCATCCTGCAGGATCTTGCAGGATTCTGCAAGGCTGGGCTGACCCGGGTTTGCATTGACCTGGGTCAGTAGATTGATGGGCCGATTTCCACCGCCACTATCATAGGTAGGAGAGGGAGGAGAAGGAGGAGGTGGACGAGGAGGAGGAGGACGAGGACCTCCCCATCCTCCCTGCTCCCCCGTCCCACTGGGTAGTGGTGGTGGAGAACTGGCCCATCACAGATCGCCGGCCCCTGTCTTTGGGGGCGAGCGTCCCGGGGCGAGCCTCGGGGGCCACCAACAGAGGGGGGGCAGGGGGAGGGGGAAAGGCTTCTTAGAAACATCCCTGCTTCTTGGAAGGCGCGAGTCTTCCCTATCGAGGGCGCCTGCGGCGAAGCACCGCCGCCCCCTGCCTTTTGTGATCGCCCGTGTGGCCGAGCGTTGTGGCAAGAGCTCTTCCAAGCTATCGGGCCATGTGGTCCCCCAACCGATGTGGAAACCCTTCGGGGAACACTTGGGGGAGGATGGCGGGGAAGATCAAGAGGAGGAGGAGGAGGAGGAGGAGGAGGAGGAGGAGGAGGAGGGGGAGGATGAGGATCAGGGGGCATCTTGGGAGCCTGTGGGGGCACTCTTGAGGCCTCCTCGGAGCTTCCGGGGAGCCTCTTGGATGTATCTTGGGCCGTCTTGGTGGGCTCCTAGCCCGTCTGATGCCGTCAGAAGCTATCTAGGGGGCCTCTTTGGGCCGAATTGGGGCCCTCTTGGGGTGCTCCAGGGCCTTCTTGTAGGCCATCTTGGGCCGTCTTGGAGGCCTCTTGGGCCGTCTTGGGCACTCGGGGCCGTCTTGGGGGCCTCTTAGGCCCTCAGAAGGGGTAGTGGAAGGACCTGCCGACACGCCCACCCCGTGCCCAGCGGCACGGTGGCGCGTATATGTAAGGCCGGCGCCGTCTAAGAAGCAGCCTCGATCTAAGGAGCGTTCCCCGCCAAAGAAACGGTGTGGTGACCGCACCGCGTGGTCTGGTGGCAAACCATGGGAGCCTCCCATGCTCTCGCAGCTCCGTCTCTACAGTGCATTGGCGTGCGGTAGCGACTGGTGTTGTCAAGAACGCGCCGATTTAGCGTCGATCCAGCGTCGTTTGGCGTCTAGTAGCGTCTGTTGGCGTCGATTCGCGAGAGCCAGCAAGATGACATGGGAGGCCCTAGTGAGTTGCCACAGACGTGAATCAGTGGGGATGCGGGGTCACCGCTCGATTATTTCGGGCTTCAGTCGTTCTCCGAGACGATGTCTCGAGCGATGGGGGCCCCCGAGGTCCCAAGACCGTGCGGTGACGGACCGCGTGGAGAGGTCGCCGGATGCTCCGAGGTCACCACGCGGTCCGTCACATGGGGCGTTCCAAGAAGGGCCTTGCCTTCGAGGCTCGAAGGAGTTGTCGCCTCTTCCGCCGCGGAAGGGCGGCGGAAGGCCGGCGGAAGTAAAGCGAGGCCCCCCCCCGCTGGCGGAAGCTCGGCGGAAGTGAAAAGTTGTCCCCCAAGAGATGAAGACGTTTTTGGGGTTCAGGGTGTCCGAAAGCGCCCACAGGGTCTGTGGGGCCCCGAAAGGCCCTGGGAGGGGGAAGATCAGGAGGGGAAAAAACACACAGACACAATTAATCGGCGATTCCCAGAACATATGGGAAACTATGGGACGTGGGGGGGAAGACAGAAACCCAGAAAATATGGGAACATATGGGGGATCCTTTTATGTGTGTGTATTTATCTGTGTGTCCTGGGGCCCCTTCAAAAGAGGGGCGGGGGGCAAGGTCGAGGTGCATGTCAGCAGTGTGAGCTCGGCGGGGGCTTCAGAGCGGCGGTGTGGACGCCCCCCCGATCGGCCACGTGGCAATCACGGTGCACCGCCACGGAGGATGGGGGCCCTCCAGGGGCTGAGAGGCGTGTGAAGCGAGGTCCTCTCCTAGCTCCCCCCCCTCCTTCCCAGAGGAGGTGCGATCCTCGATGGGAGGGGCGAAAGGGGGGGATTGGGAAAGGGGGGGTTACGAAATTTGCTGCATGCAGCTGGTTTCGGCCCCACCGAGGGGTCCATTCCTCGATACATGGGCGCCTCTCGCGCCGGGAGGCGCCGGGAAAATCAGCTACGTGAGCTGATTCTCAAACCCCCCCTTTTGCTATCCCCCCCTTTCGCCCGACCCGATCCTCGATGGGAGGGGTGAGGAGGGGGCCTGAGGGGGGACACGTGGGAAGGAGGCGACCGGTACAGGCGAAATCGAGGAAGCGGCGGGGCAGCGTTGACCCGGGGTCGCGGATGGCTGTGCACACTGGCTTTTGCCCGCGAACCGGACGAAATGAATACTATGTTTTGTGTCGGGGTCAGAGGTTCCGGGATCGGCGACGCAAAGCAACATGGTCATCTGTTCTTTCCTCAATGGTTGCCTCAGCCAGGCCAGACTTGTCGTATCAAGACTCTTTGAGTCAAACTGGACGCGTCTGAACATGTGTGATCACATATGCGCTTCGTGATCTGAGTTGAAGCGAGGGGGCGAGGAGATCAGAGCATCAACAGTTATACCCAAACGCGTGTGTCAGAGTACATCAGAAGCCAAAGTCGGTGAACGACAAAGGGCGAGCAAGCGCGTCTAGAGAGCAGGCAGACTTACAAATGAGTGAGGTCAGAAGAGATCTTTGTGTACCCCCGCCCATGAGGAAGAAGCCGACAGCCGGGAGGACGCCCGAGGAGGCGGCTATTCGGCTGCAGAGGTGCAGTGCGCGAAAAGGGACATCCAGATTTATCGTGAGGCAGTTTGTGGGCTACGACCAGCTGTGTATTGAACTCGTGTACCATAGCCCTCGCATTTGCCGATCAGAGTGAGTGGGCGGCGGGGTCGTCGGCAATCTCCGAGGCTTTGAGGAAGCCCGCCGCAGAAGCCGGCTAGTTACGCATTGCACAACGTGGGTCGCAGGCGGGTCGCGGTTTGGTCGGGGGTCGGGGGTTGGCCCCGGGTTGATCGCGGGGCGGGTGGGTCGCGAGTGGGTCGCGAGTGAGGACAACCACAACAACAAGAAACATCCGTAATCCCCATCGCACGAGCCCACTTCAGACATGGACCCGGAGATAGTGTAAGACCGTTCGGCCCCCTCTTTCTGAAATGTTATACACATGTTTCGAACGGCCTTCAGTCGGAAGGTTGTTCTGATACATCTCTTCCTTCTCCAGCAGAGTGGAGCATATCGATCGTGCGGATATTGTATTGCCCTCTATTACTTGCGTGAGGCCGCCGGCACCATGGCGAAATTTGCCCGGCCTAAGTGGAACCAGACGGAAGGGCTGATCCTGCCATGGGCGCTTGCATCCCTGTGCCTCCTCATTGGTCCCAGACCCCGTTGCCGTCTCGCCACCGGCAGCCTTGCGAGGTTCTTGCATCCTGAGCTGTGATCCCGTCCACATCAGTTTTTCTGCCCTTTCACTCAGCTCAGAGGTTTGCCAAGTCTAGACGTCAGGCCTCTCGCATAACATCCCTACAATGTGGACTGAACTCCCATGTTTCGGTCTGGGGGGGAAGCCCTGAGTTTAGCTAGGCCAACCTCTTGGATAGGTGGAACAGATTCTGGAGGCTGGCGCGGTACGCTTTGCCGTCGCTGGAGCCTCGCATGCTTCCAGCACCTGCAGCATCTGCCTCGAGCCGCTCTCTGGTGAACCGGTGGAGTCCAAATGCAAGCCCGCGCCGGGTATGCTTTCGCGGTGCGTCGCCTACAACTAACCCATCCGTCGATATTCCAGGAACGGTTGGTCTTCAAGGGTTAAATTTCCCCTCCTTTCTTCTCGCTCGCCCTTCTGTGTTAGGACGTCCTTGGGCTATAGAAAACTTGGAGATACATTTTGGGCAGGGGCGAGCAACTTGTAATGAACGGTTGGCAAGGCCTGCCCGCGTGCCCTCAGACGTGGCACAGGCTTGCGCATGCTTGTCCAGGAAACAGGTTGGAGAGAATTGTCCTCGAATGTGCCTCCCTGGGGAAACTGTTGGGCCTGGCCTGGGCTTGGATGTGGTCCTGTGCTGATGGGCCGCTCTGGTCCTTTTGGCGCCCTCTGGAGGGTTGGAATGAAGGACTACGGTGGCTCGAAGATTCAATGCTGTTTCTTGTGTGGTTGCCAAGTTTTGTTTGCTCTTCTGGGTATCTCTGTATTGACACGGCCAGACGTGGCTCGAATAGATCGCCAGGATCGTTGCAGGGAAACCAAATCGGCCTAACTTGAGCATTCATTGGGAGAAGGCGGGACATCTGTTTGTATGTATCTCAGGCGCGAGTGAGGAAGTGGGTGTACCACCACCCACCAAACCACCCCAACCCAACCCGAAGGCCCCAATTTGCCCTTCATTCCCAGTGTGGGGGTGTCGGGGAATGAAAAAACACGTGTAGAACCCGTACCCCGCCCCCAGAACCCGAAATTCGGGTCTTCGGGTTCGATTGGGGTGGTCTGGTAGTAGTCAGTGTATGATGTGGTCTCCCTGACTTGTGCTGCAATTGGCGCTGTCCCAGGCGAGGACGCATCGGAGCCGCCGTGCACGCTGCCCTGCCTCCACACGTTCCACCGCGCCTGCGCTGGGGCCTGGATTCCCCAGCGGGGGACGTGCCCGAACTGCCGCGTGCGCGTGGAAGAGAACCAAGAAGGCGTCGACACGTGACTCTGTGATTCGCATCCGGCTAGGAGAACGAACAATGACATAAACAGAATAACTTGGAGGTCCGCGCGGATATCTCGGATCGGCGCTGGGGCCCCCTGGCGGCGCCTCCGGCACCGCCCCTGGCGCGCTCCTCGCGCCAGGGAGGGGGATCCAGCGCCGATCCGAGAAATCTGCGCGGACCTCCGAGTTATTATGTTTATGTCTTTGTTCGTTCCCCTATTAGTAGTCTTGCTCGGCAAGCAAAGTTTGTTTCACCGCCACCAGCGAGTTTCCTCAGCCAAGTTTGGTAACACTGTTAGGGCAGTTGCGTCTCACGTACCTGCGAGTATTTATGAACGGTGCTGGCCAGATCTCTCGAACCGTGACAGTCTTCGAATCTTCTAAGCTCAGCGCTGAGATGCATATTGCGGATTCGGTGAGATCGGAGGCGGGGGGGTGAGACGGAAGTGAAACGTGAGGTGTCCCAATTGGGGAGTCGTGTTGGTTTGTTACGCGCGTGCGAGCGAGTCGAAGCTGCGCGCGCGGGCGCGTGCCCGCGAGGCCCCGTGGTCGGATGGGGGAGGTCCCGCCCGTCGTCGCTGCGTTTTTTTTCCGGAGGGGAAAAAACACACAGACACAATTAATCGGCGATTCCCAGAAAATATTGGAAAATATGGGAAGTGGGGGGGAAGACAAAAGCTCAGAAAATATAGGAAAATATGGGGAATCTTTTTATATTTGTGTGTATTTGTTTGTGTGTCTGTGGGCCCCTTCCTTTTTGGCGGGCTTCCCAGCGGATGCTCCCCGCGCTCCTGGGCTCCACCGGGCGGTCCCCCGATTGTCCCTTTTGGGTGGCACCACAGGCCCTGCGATTGTCCCGCTCGGGGGCCACGTCCTCGATGTTCCCCTGCCTCTGACGCCACGTTTCTCAGAGCGTGCATTACCTACCCCGCTTTCGCTTCCAGGAAAAACCAAGTCATACCACGCGCCTCCTCGTCAAGCCTCCTGACCAGTACAGGCCGTAGTTTGGCATCGCTTGGTATCTCTTGGAAGCGAGGATGGTCAAAAGCGAGGTAGGTTTGTTTGCCCCCTAGTTTCTGTCATGGTTGCCCCGTTCACGCGGCGCATGTGAGATGCTCCCCCTTGGGACGGCATTCACGGTCTGTGTTTTGTCTCAAGTGTTCGTGGATCTGGGGCGGATGGAACGTCCGCGAATGACAGCAGATGCGCGGGCGTGGGGGTGAAACAGGCGACGCGCCAGGTCTCGCGAGCCGTGCGCCGAAGCGCACAGGCGTGGAAACTCATACCATTGAACCATTGACTCACAATCGTCCTGTGGTGATGGTGTCCCCATTTTAAATTAGCAACGCCCCGCGTCCTCTCCTATCTTCTCCTCCTTCTCCTCTCCTCATCCCGCTACTCCCACGATGGCCTCAGGGAGGCCCAAGAGGGCCCCGAGACTCACGCTCGTCCGCATCTCGCATTCCAGGTGTGCACAGTCGCGCGGCATCCTTTCAAGCTTCCTTGCAGGCGTCTCCGATAAGCTACTCCTTTTTACGCTTCATGGTAAGCGTCTCCTACTCGCCTTTTGGGCCTAGAGTGCGCAGCTGTCCGAGCGTTTCCCAGATAGCATTTAGAGAGCGAAGAGGGTTTCAAATTTGATGGATCACACGAGTGCGCTTCCTGGCAAACACGCGCCCCTCCGCTTTTGTCGTCACACGTTGCGTGGCCCCACAGGGAGCTCCACCGAAAGGTTTTTGTTGCAGGGTTCACATGCGTCCCCCGCCCACGCTGGCGCCTTCTCCAGACGCCTCGTGTCCCAACAGGGAGCTCCACCGAAGGCTTGTGTGGCAGAGTTCGCGTGCGCCACCCCCGCACATGTTGGCGCACCCCTCTTGCGTCTAGTGGCCTTACAAGGAACTCAACCGAATGCTTTTTGTGGCAGGGTTTGCATGCGTCCCCTGACCACGCCGGCACGCCACTCACAGCTTCGTGGCCCCACCCCCACAGGGAGGTTCACCGAAGGTTCCCGTGGCATGGTCCGCATGCGTCCCCCCGCCCATTCCAGCACACTCCCCACACGCTTCGTGACCTTACAGGGAGCTTCACCGAACTCCTGTGGCAGGTCTCGCTCGCTCCCCCGACCCACTTCGGCACACCTCCTCACACGTTTCGTGGCCCCACAGGGAACTCCGCCGAAGGCTCCTGTGGCATGGTTCGCACGCGTCCCTCCCGCCCAATCGGGCACTCCACTCTTACAGTGCGTGGTCCCCAAGGAGCTCCATCGAAGGTGACAGGGTTACCATGCGCCCCCCGCCCACTTCGGAACTCCCCTCACACGCTTCGTGGCCCCGCAGACATTCGCAAGTGGCGGAGCTCCACCTACGGCTCCAGTGGCGACGTTCGCATGCGTCCGCGCCGCACATGACTGAACACCCCTCATTCGCTTCGTGGCCCCATAGGGAACTCCCCTTGGCGACAGTCGCATGCGTCCCCGCCGAGCATTACAGCACACCCCTCACTAGTTGTGTGGCCGCATAGGGAGCTCTACCGAAGGCCCCAGGGACGGATCGAATGCGTCCACGCCGCACATTGCGGCACAACCCTCACACCTAGGGAGCTCCACGTAAGGCTCCATTGGAGACGTTCGCATGCGTCCCTGCCGCGCATGGTGGCACATCCATCACACGTTTCTTGGCCACAGATGAAGCTCCACCGAAGGCTCCACCCAGTGAAGACGTTCGCATGCGTCCCCACCGCACGTTTCGGTACAATTCTCACACGTTTCGTGGCCCCGAACGGAGCTCCACCGGAGACCTCAGTGGCGACGTTCCCGCGCGTCCCCGCCGCACATTGCGGCATATCCCTCACACGCTCCGTGGCCCCAGAGGGAGCTTCACCTCACTACGTTTGCATGCGCCCCCGCCGCACATTTCGGCACACCCCTCACACGCGTCGTAGCCACATTGGGAGCTCCACCAAAAGCTCCTATGTCGGGGTTCGCATGCGTCTCCCCCTCGCATTTCGGCACACCCGTCACACGTTTCGTGGCCCCACTTCGAATCATCTGCCTTGCTGCATTCGCACATGCATATGGTTGGGCCGTTTGCCAGAATATGTGCTGCCAGGGATGGTTGGGAGTGTTGTCATTGCACACGGCAGGCAAAATGCTGCCTTCCCCCCCACCGTGCCTTTCAAAAGCCAATGCGAAGTGATCGCGGTGCGTCCGCGCATTATCTAGATTTAGGTTTCAAGTGTAGTTCGTCTCGTTGTGTTGCAAGTGGTAGTGGGATGGTGTTGGCCTGCGCGCAGCAAGCAATATAACAGCACCCCCGCCGTCTGTGTCATTAACCGATTCCAAATGGTCGCGGGGCGACCGCGCATGCTCCATATTTGGATGCACAATGAATTTTGCATTATTCCCAGGCATCCTGTGGTGTTGCGTGCTCGTTTTGATTACGCATTGCACCGCGTCGTCCTCTCCTCCTCATCTCCTCTCCTCTTCCGTCCTCCCATGCCTGCCTTTGCCCTCCGAATGTTTTTGCCTCGGCACACACACCTGACACGCTTCGTGTCTGGAGGGGAAAAAAGCACAGACACAATTTAATCGTCGACTCCCCAGAAAACAGGGGAGACTATGGGAAGTGGGCGGGAAGACAAAGACCCAGAACATATGGGAACATATTGGGAATCTTTTGATTTGTGTGGATTCATTTGTGTGTCCTCGGGCCCCTTGATCGTGGTTCCACAGGGAGCTCCAGCGAAGGTTCCAGTGGCAACGTTCGTATGAGCCCCTGCCCCCCCCCCCCATCTCAACACACCCCTCACACGCTTCGTGGCCCCATAGGGAGTTCCACCGAAGGTCTCCGTGGCGACGGTCACGCTCGTCTCCGTTCCGTATAATTCGGCAAAGCCCTCACACCCTCCGTGGCCCCATGGGAGGGAGCTCCACAGAAAACCCAGAGCCGACGTTCGCAGGCGTCCGCGTCCGCACATTGTGGCACACCCCTCACACGTTGCGTGGCCCCATGGGGAGCTCCACCGAAGGCTCCACTGGTGATGTTCGCATGCGACCCTGTCGCACATTTCGGCACATCTCTCGCACGTTTCATGGCCCCACGGGGACTTACACCAAAGGTCTCGGTGGGACATTCGATTGGGTCCCCGCCGCAAATGTTTGCACGCCTCACACGTTTCGTGGCCCAAAAGGTAGCTCCACCTAAGGCTCCAGTGGCGTGATTCGCACGCGTCCCCGACGCAGATTTCGGCACACCCCTCACACGCTCCGTAGCCCCATAGGGAGCTCCACTGAAGGTACCAGTGGCGACGTTCGCATGCGTCCCGCCGCTCATTCCAGCACACCCCTCATACGTTTCGTGGCCCCATAAGGAGCTCCACGTAAGGTACCAGTGGCGACGTTGGCACGCGTCCCCGACGCAGATTTCGGCACACCCCTTCTACGCTTCGTGGCTCCATGCGGAGCATTCGCACGCGTGTCTCCCATCCATTATAGCGCACCCTGCACATGTTCCGTGGCCCCATGGGGAGCTCCACCTAAGGCCCCAGTGGCGACGTTCGCGTGCGTCCCTGCCGCAAACTTGGGCACCCCTCTCACACGGTCCGGGGCCCCACAGGAAGCTCCACCGAAGGCTTCAGCGTCAGGATTTGCATGCGTCCCGCCGCCCGTTTCGGCACACCGCTTGCACGTTTCGTTGCCCCACAAGGGGGGCCTCTTGCCTTGCTGCGCTCACACTTGCACATGGATGGGCCTCTCGCCAGGATAATGGAGGATGACGATTAATAAATGACCGGGGGTCGTGTTCATGCGGCGGCGCCTGGGATGACGATTAGAAAAAACCAGCCGCGGGCTGGAACACTATTCTTTTTAATCGTTCTCCTCCAGTCAGAAAATTATGCAGAAATAGCAGAAAACTATTGTTTCAATTATTTCCCTCCATTTTTTTATTAATCGTCAGCCCGCATTAGTTCATAATCTGATAGGGACTGTGGAGGGGTGCACTCATGGGTCCGGGTGTGCTGCGGGTTCGATAGGGGGCAGTGATCAACCCCTCCCCGCACAGAAAAAAAAGAGGTGCTGGAAGAGGAAATTCCATGAACCACTGACGCCACGAGGGCTGGTGGGATTCGAACGGCGGCTGTGGCCGTGCTGCGTTTGGGTCTGGCGCTTGCGTTGGGGTGACCATCCTCTTCGTGGTCATCAGTTTCCTCCTCTCTCGTCCTCTTCCCTCGTCCTCGTCGACGTCGTTGTCGTCGTCTCTGTTCGTCGCCATCGCCAGTATCGTGGTCGTGGTGGTGGTGGTGGTCCTCGTCGTCGTTACGTCATCGTCGTCGTCGTCTTCGTCGCCTTCGGCCGTGTGCGGAGGTGGACTACGACGCGCAAGGTTGCGCAAATGTGCATACGTGCGCGAAAGTGTCCCCGCAAAGGCGCTCCAGGAACTGCTGTGCCATCCTGAGGCCATCTTAGGCACATCCTGAGGCGATCTGGGTACTCGAGGCGATCAGAAGGTCATCTTGGGGTTGGTGACGGTGGAGGTCGTCGCCAGAGTCTTCGTAATTGTTCGACTCGTTGTCCCTGTCGGACGCATTTGCTTGTTCGCTCTCGCTCATCAAACTCCGAGCGGTCTGCCTTTTGCACACAGTTGCACGCTTTTGCGCACGTTTGCGTGTTGGGCCCCCTGAAGTGAGTGAAGATGCCTTCGCGAGCGTTCCAGGGTGAATACCGATTCCACATGGGGGCTTGTTGGGGCTTTCTTGAGGCGATCTGGAGGTCTTGAGGCTATCCGAAGGTCTTCTTGGGGTCGGTGGTGGTGGATGTCGTCGCTGTTGGTTATCGTGGCCTCGTTGTTCTCGTCGCCGGACGCGTTCGTTTCTTGAATGTCACTCCTCATCCTCTTCGCGGGCTCACGTTTGCGAATTGTTGCACATGTTTGCGTTTTTTTTTAATTTGGGAAAAGCATCATGTGAGATTCGTTGTGTTCTCTCCCGAGCTGAAGCCACGTGCTTTTGAACCGTCGTCTCGCGCGCAGTCCGCATGTCAGATACACACACGCTTAAACAGAGCGCCGATGTAGAGCACTGCTACCATAGCGTGCATGGGACTTTCGGCGGTCGCCGATGGGCCAGGGTACCTCTACGCCCCAGTGTTTCGGTTCAGGTGCACTCTGTTGCTGCGCTTGCTTCGTTGGGGGAGTCGTGATGCCACACACGCGCATCTCGCACATATGTGTCAGATGTGGTAGGGTGTACGGTGCCCAGTTTCTTGCAGGCTCGTCCCGCCTAGCAGTCTTACACTTGGACGTTCAAATCGGCGCAATATGCAACGTGCGGCTTTAATTTATCAGTACCAACATGTCAGGTGCCACTTAGGATTTGAGTTTCGCTTGGACACCTCACCGCCTGCAGGGCTCTGGGCAGTGTTTGCGCTCGTAAGCTTTGCAGCCCAGGGTGTGGAAGCGCAGCGCGCCATGGGTCGCGGCAAGGTGTCGTGCTTTGCAATGAATCTCGCTCGGGCGTTGGAGTGCTCATTCCGCGCCCTCATCTGGGGCTCGATTGTGCCTCGTGCTGTCCCTGGTCTGTGTGCGGAGGGCCGTCATATTCGACCTTTGAGCCGCTTGGCGCACATGTTGGGCCTGCTGATTTGCACTGAGCCCAGCGACGATCTCGGTGAGACGTGGCTCCCTGCATCAATACCTCTTCATTCCTATCTGGGACCACGATGCCTTCTGACCAGTTGTGGAGTGCGTGCTATGGGTGCCAGGTGTCGTGAAAATGGCGATGTGCGTCGTCGTCATCGCCGCCGCCACCGTCATCTGCATCGTCATAATTCCCTGCATCCCCCCCTGCGTTCCCCACGCCAGTGAGGAATTGGAGCGGAGAGGCGAGTTGTCTGCAGCAAGTTAAGCACCCGCTCGAAGTTCAAACTTATGGTTCGTCAGGTGAAGCTGGGACCTCGACCATTGCACCTGAGCTGGGGCGAGAGCGACAACAGGATCAGAAGAAAGGGAGGAGGAGGAGGAGGAGGAGAAGGAAGAATATGAGTGAACAGCGGTGGGCCATCTCATTGTTCTGGGACGCAGTGTGGCAGCGCCCCGCGCACGGCGGGAGGGAGTGGGCCAAATGGGGTCCATGGACTTCAACGGTGTGTGTGTGTGTGTGTGTGCGTGTGCGTGCGCGCGCGCGTGTGTGCGTGTTGGTGTGTGTGTGTGTGTGTTCGTGTGTGTTTGTGTATGTGTATGTGTATTTGTGAGCGCGCCCCAGTCCTCCTCATTCTCCCCCTCCTCGCTCCCTCCTCCCCTCCCCTTGCCCTCCCCCCCTCCTTCCCTTCTTCCCTTCATCCCCTCCGAGCGGTCTTGTCCAGTGTCGGCGTCAGCACGGGTGGACTGGGGGACGCTCCTCATTCTGTGCTGGACCTAAACAGTGTTTTGGCGACTTCGTGAGCCGTTTTCGTTTCGATGTCGTTTTGCGGTAGAGGTGGATTGAAGACAAAACGGAAGAACACGGAAACAACACGAAAACGGAAAGCACCGTCCAGGTTCAGCCTTGCTCCTCATTCTGTGCTGTCCCTTGTGCCTCAGCTCGTCTCGGACGCGCCCCGCCGTCGCTCGAACGCCGCTGCCTGAGCTCCAGGGGCCGCTGCCCCCCCCAACAGAACATCGAGCACGTCCCCGAGAGGGCGCCGCCGTGCGTGCCCCGGGCGGGCCGTTCTCTGGGGCCGTGTCCCAGCATCGTGCTATCCTCTTGAGCTGGCACTGCGCGCTGCAGATGTTACGTATCATTCAACGAGCGCGTTTCATTACTCGTGAAGTAGCTGCTCGCAAGTGGCCTGGATCCCCGGCGGGGGATCTACGATACATCACAGTAAAGCGGCCAGGTGTTTTTTCGGACGTTTGCGAGCAGGCATTTTGCGAACAGTGGAACGCGCTCGGCCAATGATGGTGTCGAACTCAGGCGCCCAGTCCAGCATCAAGCTGCGCATGGCCCCCTGCTGTGAGTCATGTCGGGGCCTGCTGCATCCCTCACGCCCAACATTTCGGCACTCGCACACTATGGATGCTATTCCCCTCTCTTCCTCGGAGACGGCCTGAGAGTCGCGCGATCACAACCGCGTGTTGCGTGTTTCCAAGGACTGGTAAGACATGATAAGTCGTATGTGCTTTTGACATCCGAGCGCCCTCGGTCCTTCAAATGGTGCTTCAGCTGCAGCGTGGGCCTCCTTTGAAATCGGTGCTTCGCCCCCGTCGTTCAGAATGGCGCTCTCGCCCCAGCGGGGGCAACTTCTGGATCCGAGCCCTTCCTTGTCATTGTCGCCCCGCCTCCTTTCCCGTCCTCCGCTTTCGCATTGTCCCCTTGCTCCTCCCGCTCCTTTCACTCCAGCGCCTGCTGCTGCTGTTCGTCCTCGTCCTCCTTCTGCCTCATCCTCCTTGTGTTCCTGCTAATCCTCGTGCTCATCCGCCACCTCATGTTCTCGTGCAGACAGCTCCCCTCCGCCGGGTGCCCAGGGCCCTTGCCAGTTGCGCGTCGATCCAACAATAGGGCGGAGATCACGGCGTTCCTCGACAGCTTGAAGTCAACCACGGGCGGCATCACATTGTACACCGACTCCGGGATCATCTGCAAGGGTTGGAACAACAGGAGGTACCTCAAGAAATGCTACAAGAAGGGCCCCTGGGACCTGTGGAAAAGGATCGGAAGGGCGATGACCAACAGAGGCGATGCAGCCATCAACGTGCTGCACATCGAGAGCCACATGAGCTTAGAGGAGTCGGGAAGCAGAGGCGTGGAGGTGGCAGCATGGCATGCCAACCACAGAGCAGAGGACATAGCGGCAGAGGCGGCGAAATCGTACGATTGGGCAAGATGTATAACACAGCTGGTGAGAGCGAGGATCACGCAGGCGACCATAGAGCTGCTCGAAAGTGTGAAGCCGATGACCTGGGAAGAGAAGGGGGAGGCGACGAATAGCCGAACAATGCCGGAAAAGCTCGGGTAAAACTTCGAGGTCTTGGACAAGCACACCCCGCATCAGCTGGTCAAGAAGGGTAAGCTGTGGGTGTGCCCGACATGCTTCCAAACGGTCTTTGCAAGGCAGAGAACAAAGACAGTGAGATGGTGTCTGCAGAAGTGCAGGGAGGACCCGACCATGAGGAGCGCGAGGCCCAATCACCAACCGGAAGCAAAGGAACGCACCAAAGGTTTGGGGCTGAACGGGGCGATGCCGTATCCTTGCCACCAGATCCACTGGAGCCGGCACGAGGCGAAGCACCTCTGCGGGACGTGTGGCGCGAAGGCGACGAAGCACCTCAGCAGGAAGATGACAGAGCTTTGCTGTGCCGGTCTGGCTGGAAAGGCGATGCCGTACGCGCTCGTAGCCATGCAGCAGAAGATGGGCACGGCGCCAGGCGAGAGCAGGAGGTGCACCAAGAAGCGGAGGCCGAGAACCAGGCAAGGAGGAGGAGGAGGAGGAGGACCTCGACCATGAGGGACCAAGACAAGGGCCACATGATCAAAGGAACCTGAGAGGGCCTCCGACAGGGGGTCGAGGCCGGCGAGCGCCGCGCCGCGAGGTCGTCGACTGCACGGCACGGCTGGCGCCTCCTGCCGCTTGCCTCACACAACAGCCCGCGGACTGCTAACACCATTCGGAGAGGAACAAAAAGGGTAGGGTGTCAGAGGTGGCACGAGCGCGCCTCGTTTGCCCTGAGCTCCCCTCTCTCTCTCTCTCTCCCTTCCCCCCTCCGTTTGCTCTCCCGTCTTTTGCCCACCATCCCTCAGATGTTGGTCGTGCCTTTCTGCCTGCCGCGCCGCGCTGCTCCCGCCTTCCTCCCCCCGCCCCCTCATCCCCTTCCGCGGCTGCTGCTGTTTGCTCTGATGCTGCTGGCCCTGCCGCTGCTGATGACGGTGCTTCTCTCTCTTCTGCTGCTGCGCTGCCAGCGTCTGCTCGCCGCGCCCATTTCGGCACGCCCGTCGCGCGTGTCGTCCCGCCTCCTCAAGAGGTTGTCGCGAGCGTGTACAAGCCTTGCCTAGATTCGACACGCGCCTCACACGCTTTGCGCATCACAGGCAGCTCCAACGAAGGCCGCAGCGGAGGTGTGCGCACGGTTCTCGCCTCACGTCGGCTTGCGTCGCGCATGTTTGGAACTCCACAGGGAACACCAATCGCGGCCCCAATGGGGTTGTGCGCAGGCGGTCCCCGCTTCAATTTGGCACACCCTTTGCGCGTTTCGTGCCCCATGGGGGGCCTTTTCCAGTCGGGGTGTGTACCTACGGCTTCCCTTGCCCAATTCGGCGCACACGTTTCGCACCTCGTGGCCCATATGCGGGCGCAATTACGGCCCCAGCGGGGGTGTACTCACGCCGTCCTCTCGCTCACTGCGGCGCACTCCTCCGGGCCCGAGTTTCGCAGGCCTAGAGGTTGACACCAACACCATCTTCGGCGGTGTGCCTCCACCGAGGAAACGAGATCCCGATCTCGGCGATGGTGGTAATACTATGGCTTCCAAGGTGGCCGAACTATTACCACCAGCGCCGGAATCTAGGATCATCTCCCCCCTGTGGAGGCAACCCCTTGTGTTGGTGTTGGTGCCCATTTCCAGGCCCCCAAGAGTTGCGGACCCAGTGGGCGCACCCGCGCGGCATCTTCGCGCCATGCGTCTGCAGGTATGCCGCCCCTGCTTTTCGACATTTCTCAGCTTTCAGGGATGGGGTTGCCGCACCCGTCCTCCTGCACTTCCCGCCGATTCCTCCCTCCCGCCTCCCGCAGCGCATGAGGAGAGAGCTGCCTTCTGTTCATCGCGCACTTGGAACGGGTTGGGTCCTCCGCGAAGCGTGAACCAAAAGTTGTTGCTGTTGCTGTTGTTGTCGTGGCTAGTGTTATTGTTATTGTTATTGTTGTTGTCGTTGGTGTTGTTAGTGTTGTTGTTATTGTTAGTGTTGCTGATTTTGTTGCTGTTGCTGTTGTTGGTATTGTTGTTGTATCTCTCTATGTTTCTTTGTTTTTATGTATCTTTCTCGCGTTTCCCTCATCCCATTCGATGTATACACATATGGTAGATTATGTAATCATCTCAGACATACTTGGCTTTTATTATACGCACAGGGATGATATGAACGGAGAGGCATGCATGTATAGAGATATCCTTCACTCGCGTCATTTAGTTCTTACCTTCCATCGGCGTCCTGACTTCGCACACTATGTCGCCCACATCAGATGCCGCCCGCATGCAGCTCAAGCCACCTGGCCCAGTATGGCCTGCGGCACAAGTGTATCCTCACGTGTTCTGTTGAATCAACGCGCACGCTAGCAGACGCCAGCCTCAGCCCCTCCAGATGTCTTCCACTCAGGGTATGCGATATCTTATCTGGACCGCTTGCTACATTGTGATGTCGAACGCGTCTCGGGTGCGGGTCTTATGCCTGATCAGATCTAGAATTCGGTCTGAGCGTTTGTTGGGCCAGTCTGTCATCGATTGATCATTGTTCGTTATGTCTGATGTGCTCCGCACTGGACTTTCGCGAGCAGAGGGTGCTTCACGTGATTGATGCTTCGCCGGAGTCTTTCGCTGGCGGTTGGGAGGAATGATCGGTATCTTGCGACATTCTGCTTAGACGGTCGCCCAATACCGAACCCCTCATTGTAAGGTGCACCCGGACTTGGACAGCAGTGGCAAGCGTGTCGACCTCGGGATCGAGGAATCTGCTTGACCGACTGGGGGCAGAGATGGGGCATGCTGGTCGTCGCGTGGGGTTTGAAGTGCATGCCTTCGCGCGCCCCCCCCCTCCCCCCCCCTGTGACAACAAGGACCCCCTTCCCTTGACCGGACAACAAAGTCCGGCCTCACTGAGAGGATCAGCTGGGATAAACATTGAGCAGTTGTTTGCATGGCTAATTTAACCTGCATATTCAGTCGGATCCGCAAAGGACGGCCTCACTGAGAGGATCGACTGTTTAAACGCAGATTTTAAACAGTTGAATTCATTTCGCTTTTAACCCTTCGCTGTACGCTGCGCACTGGCCAAAGCGGTCTGGGTAAAAAAAAAAAAACAAGGACCCCCTTCCCTTGACTACAACCACGAACCCCGTGGACTACGACGCTGAAATAAAGACCGCTTTGGGCTCAGGAGGGGCTCGGGTTTTTGGGCGGCCTCCTTGATTCGTGCCGCGGAACCTGTTTGTGGCCTATGCCCGCCGTGGCCAGACAAAGTCCTTTGTTCCTGAATATGCGCTCCTCTTGGTAGCACGCTGACTCCCCAGACCCCTGACGTCGTTATTTGTTCGCAACGTCGACCCCAGAAGGTCTGGGCCCCTTCCCCAGGACCAGTTATTCATCCTGTATCATTGTCTGACGGTCCCGAGGCCCGGCCTTGGGCCCATGCAGACGGTCAAAAATGGCGAAACATTGACCGTCGTGCATTTTTCCCAGCGCGAGGGGCTCTGGGTCCACTGGGACCCCCGCATCGACTACGAGGACGAGTGCCGCCCATCCGAGCGAAAACTGGGCCGCCCTCGGACCACAGCGTTCTCCACCCCAGCTGCGAGGGCCCTTTTCCACCGGCCCGGGCCCTCTCCTGACCCTTCCGGCCCCAGTCAACCCGCACGCAGACTACTGTGGAAACCCTTGGGGGCCGCGTAATGGGGGGGTCATAAATGGGGGGGTGGCGAGCGTGGTCCGAAAGGGTACCCAAACGGTACCTAAACGAGCCCCCTGGGGCTCTGGAGGGGCCCCCCGAAAGGGGCACGAAAGGGGACCTTTTCTGATTCCCCCATTTGTGACCCCCCCATTAAGCCACGCCCAAAACCCATGCCAAGAAACATCTTGTTTGCCTCCAGTGTGCCCTGGGCTTCTTGGGGTTCGATGGTTCTGCTATGGAAGGCGTGGCGCTCCCACCAACAGGTCAGTGGACATGCTCGGGTCTCGGCGTTGGGTTTCTTGTGGAAGGTTTCTTGTGGTCGAGCTCCTACTGTATTGGCTGGTCGAGGAAATGACACCATGTCCTGCAAGGTCAGATCTAGCCAGCCAGCGCATTATTGTTGCTGGACTGCAGGATCTGGGTATCTAGTAATGGTTCGGCAGGCTTTGGGGACCTGTGTTCGGGCTTATTCCAGTGCATTTTTTGTGCCGCCGTCTGGGGAAATTAGTTTCGAGGGATGTCGGATGTCCTGTTCCAGCGTGTCCAGGTTCACAGGGCCCTGAACCTTTGGTCACCCCAAGCCTATTCATGTAATCCTCTTCCACCTTCTGCCCCTCTTCCTCAATTCAACTCAGCTCAACGCAACTCAACTCAAAGCACCCCGAGTGGAGCGTCGGTGATGCCGATCTCCTCCTCGCCCTCCTCTTCGTCCTCCGCTTCCTCCTCCTTCGGGCCCTGAACCTCTTGCGGCAGTCCGAGCACAACCGCAAAGTCAGGCTCCGCAAGCACCGCCCACTGCTCTATCCCGCCGCTGCCGCTCCCTAACCCGTCTAGGTCTCCCAACTGGGGGTCGGAATAGATGTTAGCCACGCGCGCAGGGGGGGCAGGGGGGAGGGGAGAAGGCCTCTTAGAAGTAACCCTACTTCTTAGACGGCGCTGGCCTCGTCTATATATGCAAGGCCAGCGTCTTCAGCAGCCCCCTTCAATAGATGGGGTCAGAGGACCTCGCCGCATCCTCGATGCATCCACGATGCGGCTCGATGTGGAGCCCGATTTTCTCCACGCTGGCGTCGCCGCTGCACCGCCGATGCGTCGCTGATGCGTCGTCGATGCCTGGGCGATGTATCGGCGGTGCATCGGCGATGCGGCGCGATCCTCCGGCCCCATCTGCTCCGACTCCATCCTGGGAGGCTTCCAGCCCCGCACCCCCGCCGCTCGAAGCGCACCAAACCGCCGCGGCCGCGCTTCCTCCCATTTGGCCCGCCCGACGCGGCGCCCGCCCGCAGGAGCGCGGCCTCGCCCCCTCGCGCCCGCTGTGACGCGTCTGCTGCCCCAGCGCCTTGCATTTGAGACGCGTCTTTCTCTTCATCCGTGGTGTCATTTTGCTTCAACGACAAAACGAATATCGTGTTTTTTTTCTTCATTTGAGACGCGTCTTTTTCTTCATCTGTGGTCACAACGACAACACGAATATCGTGCGCCCAGGGGGGGGGGGGGGGGGGAAAAAACACAGAGGTGGCCCCAGCGCCTCCTTCGCCTGGGCGCCGCGGGCGGAGCTCCGAGGAGGAGAAAAGGTGCCGCCGCTGCTACCCTTGCTTCGTGTTCGCCTTTGGGGGGCCTCCTGAGATGCCCTCGTCGCCACGGCTGGAGTCGCCTCGAAGTGCGGATCAGGAAGCACCCCGGGAGAGGTCCAGGGAGTGGTGGCATCGGCACCTTTCGACTACACCGTACGTGTAACTCTTCGCTGGAGTGACCTTTGGTGTGGGCCCACTGTTCTCGGACCGCTGAGCGCGATGCTATGGCATCGGCTTGCGCTCTTGGATTCGCCCCCCCCCCCCCCCCCCCCCGGCGCCCCCCATAAGCTGGACCTTGGGCCCCGGAAACGGCAGGGCCGTTTTTTCACCGTTTCCAAAAAAGTGTCCATTGAAAATGGAAACGGCAAAAAAACGGCGACCGGAAACGGCAACAAAACTGCTCCAGGATCGGAACCGGAGCTGGAACCGGTCAAAAAGCGGCGACGGAACCGGTAAACAAACGGCGTCGGAACCGGCAAAAAAACTGCAAAACGGAACCCGTAAAAAAACGGCCCTGTCGTTTCCTTGGCCCACTAAGAGCTGGACACCAAAGGTTCATCTTGCCTATGTCGGGGGCAAAGATAGGGGGGGACAGGCATAGGGGGGGATGCATCGACCCCCAATGGCCCATTGATCACCGATAGGGGCCCGATGGCCCCAACCTGCCCAGGAATGTGCGGATTTCCTATTCGGGGCCTGTCGCCGATCTATCGGCGATGCATCGCCGACTCCAGGTCGATGCCCCCCCCCCTTGTGCCAGTCCCCCCCTCCCCCTATCGTTGCCTCTTGCCCCTGCCCGAGGCCGCCCTTGCCTATGGCCGAACCTCTCGCTTCACCTCAGCGCACGGCGTGGATGCCGCGGCCGTTCCGCCGCCTGCTCCAGCGCCAGCGCGCTGGACCATGTGAGTGACGGGCGCCGGCCCCCCCCCGACGAGCCACCCCGGTTTCAGCCTTGCGAGAGGGAGGGCAGCGCTGGCGCGCTCCCGCGCGGGGGCCCGGCCCCCGCCAAGCCCATGAGCGCCAGGGCTCGAGCTCAACGGTGTGGTGGCGATTTCGTGGGCCGGGTTCGCTTTGCCCTCGTGTCGCAGCACAGGCAGAACGAAGAAAGAACGAGGAACAACGAAAGCATGACGAAAACGAGACACATTGTTAAGCGCGAGCCCTGCCAAGCGCCAAGCGCCACGCAGGTTCTCGCTGAATCGTGCCTCAAGCCAGAATCGCCATGGGGCCAAGACTGCAGAGTTTTCCGCACCTTCGCCCCACAAGCCAAGATTGTTAGGCATCAGCGGCCACAGCAAGTGTGCAACATGTTCCTGAGGCATGCCGCAGAAGCAGTGAGTCAAACCTGATCGTGGTGTTGCCAAGGGGCGATTGGGCCCAACCGATTTGACACATGAAACTCAGTGTTCCCTCATCCTGCTCTTCTTCCTTCGTCTCTTGTCACTTTCTTCCGTGGCGGAGTATCAAGTATATGTATATATATATATATATGTGTATATATTATATATTGTTTTGACAGCGCTATTGTCGACGCTGGGGCGTTAAAGGTTCTAGGTTAATCGAGCTTGTTGGCCGATCGGGCCAGTCGAATCTCAGCCAGCTCTTTGGTCGATCCCTGGCCCTGCTGGGTGGCCATCTTCCTGAGATTGGCTTTCTCCTTCGGATTATGAGATTGCTGGTCCGCCGCCGATGCCAGCCCCCGCGGCTCGGGGATCCGATCTGGAGCTCGGTCGCACACGATCCGCCCTTACCCCCTGCGGTCTTCGGCTTGACGGTGTCGGGGGCCCTGGCGAGCCACGTGTAGAGCATGCTTGCACGTCCGTGGCTGTGATCACACGGATCAGTGCGTCTGTGTACTGGATGGGATCGCATGTGTTCAAGCTTCAGGGC